ACCATGTGATGGTGGGACCACCACATTAATAGAAAAAAGAGGCAGCTGACCCTCTTTAAATTAAATGGTTCGGGTACTGTAGACGTAATAACAAAAATTTAAACAAGAGAGGAGAAGAAAACCAGGAGAAAGAAAGAAGAAAAGGCAGCAGAACAGCCTGTGTTCTTCCTTCGATTTCCAACTCGTTCATTGTTGAATCAGGCTGAGATTTTGACAGTAGTTTCTAGACATATTACTCTTCATTCTGAGCGGTTGGATCGAAGATTGGTAGAGTGGAAGCTGACCATTTTAACAGAAAACAAGGCTGTCAGTATTTGTGAGTTTTTCTCAAATAATTCTTCTTTAATCTTGTTGTATTCCAAGAATAAGTTGTTCTTGATGATATATATGTTGTATCCCTTAGTTGAATCTGAGGAAGAACAATTGTGAACCCATTATTTATTGATAGTAGAAGTTTTTAGGTGGACTAGGGTCCTGTGATTTTTCTTGCATCGGGTTTTTCATATTAAAATCTTGGTGTTAATTTGTGTGATTATTTGCATTATATTTGATCATTGTTTGATTCTGTTTTTACTGTAAAAAAAAAAAAGGATTGAGACTTACAAATTATGAATTGTATTTTACTAAATTAATCTGAGTAAATTAATATCCAATTATTCCTAATTTTCCCAACAATCATCTATATTCTTAATCATCTATATTCTTAGCACGCTGTATGACTCCCACTTAGGAGCTCCTTTCATTGTTCTCTAAACAGTCACATCGGCTTTGTAACAGTACGACTGGGGAACAGCATGTTGTGTCATTTCAGCCTTCCAACCTTGCTTTCTAAGCCTGCTGATAGATTACTGGTACGAGTCCTAAATCCCCTGAATCTGGTTCTTTTGAGCAAGAAGTCTCAGGACCTCTCTTGCTTCTCTTTTAGCCTCTATGATAGTCAAGACCAATGGTTAATTTCATCACCTAAAAAATGGGCAACGTGATATTTGGGAGGAAATGGCATCGGTACGTACTTTGTTCTTTTTCACTAGCTAGAACCATTCTTTCCCTGAGTCATGTGGAAATTGGCAAATTAGCTCTAAAAATATGGTGAGACACTTCTGAGCGAGACACTCACTCTGTTAAACAAAATTTTTTTATTAAATAAGAAATGGGTGTCGAGGGAAGGTGTTGCTCATCGGTCAGCAACAATGCAGGAAATGAAAAACATAAGGATGCCAACAAGTTGTCAGTAAAATGATAGAAAAGGTCAAGGGATTGCTACTGCGTGCACTGAATTACGTTGTCAACAGCCGATGCTTCTTCAAGTTCAAGTGTCGCAGCCAAAACTGCAGCATTCTTACAGCCTAGAGTTTCCCGAAAACACCAATAACATAAGAACCGAGTTCTTTTCATGATGAAGAAATTACAAAGAAATCGGCAATGGCACAATCTGGATTGGAATCTCACAATATGGGGATGACTCAGACCTTTCCAAGATTGTGAATGGCAAGAGGAATTGCATCAGGAAATTCTACTTTTGGACCAAGTTTTGGAACTCAGGGTAACCTGAACTATTCGGCTAGGAACAACATGGTCAGTGCTGACTTCAAGTCTTTTTTTCAAAGGCTTGACAATTGAATGGGTGACGAGGTCTCATTCCTGGTTTTCATTGGCGAAAGCATAGAGACAGGGACGTTGTGTGACGAGTCAATCTTGGAACGAACCTGCAGCAACAGCTAGTTTATCACTGACAGAATAGTGAAAAATATATTAATTAGAACCACTAATATATGTCGCATATGTCAAGCAAAAGTGCAATAAATCTTTATCATTTGAAGCGAAGAATCAGTCAATAGATCCTCCTAGCAGAGTCCATACAAAATCTCCGCGTCTGATCCAAACCACATTGCACCTTGCTCCCGCCATTCCCCAAAGAATCCCTTTTCCTGTGGTTGGACTTGGAATAATCCACAATATTTCCTGATTTTTTGACAACATTGTTAAACTATGATGGTCTTGGCAGCCTTGGTTTTTTCTTCTACTTGTCCTTGCTAAAATCAGCTGATGTAATATTACGACAACTATTGGGCAAAGAATCACTGGGAACCAAATCCTTAGGGCTCCCAACACAAGGCCTCTGTTGGAAAAATGAATTCGGAGGCTCCCTGGGAGGCTCACTCACACACATACACCAGAGGGTAGAAAACAAGAAACTGATATTGGTACTCACACACTTTCATTTAACAGAACACTTACAACTATATAGACATTTAATAATGTCTTTCAAAAATCTCAAAGGCCTTAAATAAAACTATTGACTCAATTATGATAACACTAACTTCATGACATTGCTACCTTTAAGATTCTTAGTTTTCCAATAAACAAGTTTAATTTTCAACATTCTCCTCCTTTTAAACTTGTTTTTTCAATCGTCATAACTCCAAGTTTCTTCTGAAAGTAACCAAACATCTTTATCTTCAATGGTTTTATAAAAATATCAGCCGCTTGTTCATTTGTTCTAATATAAACTAACTTCACTTCTCTTTCGTTCACATACTCTCTTATGAAATGGAAAGGTGTATCAATCTGTTTTGAACGCTCATGATTAACTATATTCTTTGTTAAATCAATTACAGACTTGTTATCAACAAAAATTCTAGTGGTTTCCTTATGCTTTTGTTGTAGTTCTTCCAATAACTTCCTCAACCAAACTGCATGATATACACAAGAGACTACGACAATATATTCTTCTTCATATGTTGATAACACAACAATTGATTGTTTCTTGAGTAAAAGTTTCATCTCCCAAATAAAACACAAAACTAGCTGTGCTCTTTCTATCTTTAAGATTTCCAGCTCAATCATTATCACTATAACCAGTGATCTCAAAACTTCATGAGGATAAATAGAGCAAACAATAGTTTAAGGATCCTTTAACAAAATGCAGAATGGTCTTAGTTGCTTTCAAATGTGAACTCCTTGGTTATTCCATCTAGCCGCTGATCAAACCAACTCCATATAAAATATCTGGTGTGGTACATATTAACACCCTAAAATTCTTTTATAATATGTTGGATTCACCGATGCTCCTTCTTCTTCTTTAGTTAGCTTGATTCCGCACTTGACTGTAGTATCCACATGATAACAATCTTTCATGACAAACTTCTTCGAAACATTTTCTACATACTTAGCTTGTGAAATGAAAATTCCACTGCTACATTATTTTACTGGTCGTAAGATCTAAGCCATCATTTCAAATTTCTTCACCATAGACAACTTGAATTCCTGAATCATGATGAAGTCATTAACTGTAAATATTAAATCATCTACGCACCAACAAATGAACATTATACTGTCTAGTAAATTACCTACATGCAATTTTAAATATTCAACCACTTTTGTCATGCTAACGTGGTTAATTAGAATTAATTTTTTTATGTTATTTTTTAACTCATTTTATTCTTTTGTATTTAACAAGCTGTGAATTAAGTCATGTCACTTGTCATTTGCCTTTTTTTGAAAACAATATCTTTTTCATAGATAATTATAATCATTTTTTTAAAGTATTTTTATTTATTTAATTAAATTAAAATCAGTTATTTATTTATAACTCGAAACATGTTTCTTTTTTAAAAAAAAAAAAACAGAATTGCAATAGTAAAATATAAGTTTTTATACAAAAATAATAATAATAATAATTCGATCCAGCAAGAAAGCGCGGGCACCGAGTCTAATTTAACGCTAAAAGGAGAAGATGTGGGTGCCTGCATTTCATTGTAAAAAAGAAATACTTTTGGGAAATTTCTCATGAAAACATATGACGAAACAAAGCTTGAGATTGTTTTCAACCATAAATTATATTTTTAGGCTATTTTGTATATCAACAGAGACTGAGTTTTCTCCCTGGACCCAAGAACACATCATCAAATCATCATATTAGCTTGGCGTGTTTAGAGAAATCTAATAATTTGCTTACATTTCATTTTAAGAAAGAATCACTTTTGGGAAATTTCTCGGGAAAACATATGACGAAATAAAGCATGAGATTTTTTTTTACTCTAAATGATATTTTTAGGTTAGTTTGTATATCAACTGTGACTGAGTTTTCTCCATGGACGTCCCAAGAACGCAGCATCATATGAACTTGGTGTGTTTAGAGAGATTTAATAATTTTTCTGGGATGTTGAGCCTGAGAATTGAATACGAAACGTCAAAGAACGAAGCATGCCTTCTTAACCATCTAATTCTTAATCTTCAAGATAATCCCATGAGATTAAATAGTATAGTTTATAATAAATTATGGATGGAGGGGTTTTATTGGAAAATGAAACATAAGTGGGGGCCTAATTGGGAATCTCATACTAATTTGGGGACTAATATGTCCTTTTCCCTTTTTTTAATTTTTTTTGCTGAGAAATGTATGTGCTCTGATTAGGTCTGGCCATTTTTTTCTTCCAGATGATCGGTGAGTCTACTGACCTTAATTGTCAATGATTTTCCCTTTTCCCGTTCCCTTTCATCTTCATATGAAAGCTAACACATAGGAGATCTATGCCTTTTGCTCATGGTTTATCATCCTTTGAAGGGAAAAAAATGTTCTATCTCCTATTCATGATTGATTGATGCTTCATAAATTAGGCTCCATAAATCGATCCAAAAACTTTCTTAACCTGTTCCCTTCCTTTAATCAAGCTCAAATCATGAAAATTTGTGATGGATACCGAAGAGAAAATTGAGTTTCCAAGCTTCTGCTCATTGTTCATTGAAAGCAAGCAAGTCACCTACCCCATAAAGAGGTTACATCAAAAAAAAAAAAAACCATCACATGGAAATGGTTGTATTCCTTTTCTATATTATTATTCATTAGAATATAAGAGATATATTGGTATTAATTCATGAGAACTAAATAATTTTTTTAAAAATGTTTGTTTTAAAATTTAAATTTAAAAAATCAAAGAATGGAATATACCTTGTTAATCAACAGGTAAACCCTCCGGATCTCCGCAGCTATATAGAGAGGGAGGGGGGGTGGGGGAGTGATTAACACACAACGAATCCATTGTAGGTGTTTGGTGCTGCTTCGTGTATTCTAATGAAGATTTAAGAGGTGATTATAATAATTCTTGGCGGAGGGTTACCAATCATTTGGTTGCAAGAGATAGACAACCACCAATCGATCGAAAACAGACGTTTCACCTTCTTGATTGTTCACAAAGTAAACCTCTTTTAACCACACAATTAGACCTAGCTAGACCCTCAAATTTTCTCTCTTTTGATCTTATTTTCTATCCTCGCCACAAGCATATATTTAGTTTTTTTTATATGCATCAAGCACTCAAAGCTCTTCCCTTCTGCAAGTACGTAGTGATAGTGGTCGCAGATAAAGAATAATGGGAAGTGAGCGGTGCGATATTCCATGCAAACCCCGTTATGATATTACTATGTCCAGGAGAACAAGAAAGCCATTCATCAATTTCGAAGAAGCCAATCCAAACCCCACAACAGTCTCGACAGAAGAAGAGAGTGATGCTAAAGATGTTGTTGTCCGTGATAAAGAAACAGAGAGCTTTCCTGCAACAGTTGATGTTGAAGAAGACCGTAAAAGCAGCCTGAAGCAACTTATAATCGACAACGCAGGCAGCCAAGAAAGTGAACCCACCAAGCTGGTGCTGCAGGAAACAAGGGGCGGAGATGATGAAAACACTGAGAGGAAATTATCAGGAAGCAGGAATTCCCTTGGCCAGCATTTCAAGGGAGAAGAAAAGCAGCTTCAATTAGTAACAATGAAACAAGCAAAAGAAGGAATTGAAGGAGTGAAGCTTAAGGGAATGGTGGGTCGCTATGTCAAAGTGTTAAGCCATTTGATCAGAATCAAGCGTGACACACGCATGAATAATGGATCTCGGAAAAAGCCACTTCTCCGATTGCCCATGTAGGCCATGCATATTTTCCAGGGACTCTTCTGATCACTACTTATGCATATATACATACAATACTCCTCGGCATGCCTTGATTTCGATTGGCTATTAATCCTCCAATGGAAACTCTATATATATATATATATATACTGTATTTATGTATATCTATGTAATTATGTCTGTATTTATGTATGTTTCTACTACACATGTACGCATCTGGCAGATTTTTTGTTATTCTCCTATAATTTTGCACGAAGATATTAGTAGAAATTAGTAGTCCTTTTTGGTGCTGTGTGCAATTTTTGATTGTTTCGTCTGGATGAACCATTTTCCAAATGCAAGATTTTTTTAATCATACTTTAAATTTTTCATTTAAATAGAATCTGTAAAAAAAATCGCAACAAAATCATTTTGCTTTTTTCCCCAAATTGTAATAACAAATGTTTTGAATCAACGCTATAACGGAGAACTTTCTTCATCAGTACAGCGCATTAAGGAGAAGGCCTGCATTCTTAACTGAGTCTGTAAAGATTAACTTCACACATAAAAAAACAATCTGGGGACCATATTGAGAAGATATTGAAAATAAAGGGCTGAGATATGCGATTAATCTTTTCTATGGCTAATGTGGGTGTCGGTTTAGCTTGCGTGCATTTCAATTAATCTTATAAGTCTTAAAATTAATGACTATATAAACCTCTAATAACCTTTAAATTTATAGGACTCGAACTGGTAATTTTTAAAAAATAAATTTAAAATCTAACTAGTTAAGTTATATTCTTTTGGGTTTTTTACTTTAATATTTCTTGTTTTATGTATGGTTACAAAATCTCGATGAACTTGATAATATGTTAATTTGAAACTAGTTTGAATCAAATTTTATTTTGAATTAAATTTTTTTTATTAAAATAATATTATTTTAATCTTTTAATAAAAAATAAGCTAAATCATTAACGTGCAAATCAGTCCACTCAACTTCTACCCTTAAACTCACAAAAAAAAAATCTATTTATTATTTTTAATTGAATTCTATTTCTAAATTACATTTATAAAAAAATAAATTATCATCATCATGTTGTTTTGCTTAAAAGCATCTCAAAGCATCACGTATAGAAGAAGTCGACGGAAGTATCAAATAAAATAAAATAAAATGAAATTAGAAGCACCAACCTAAGTAGAAAAATTAATATAAGTCTTCTTCGACTAATCTTACAAATTCTAAAATTAATGGTTATATAAGTCTTTATTAACCTTTAGATTTATAAAACTCGAACCGGTAATCTTTAAGAATTAAACTCAAGGTTTGACTAGTTAAATTATATCCTTTCAGGTTTTTTGTTTTATGTATAGTTATAAAATCTCAGTGAATTTGGTGATATGTTGATTTGAAATGGGTTTGAATCAAATTTTATTTTAAATTAATTTTTTTACTAAAATAATATTATTTTAATATTTTAATAAAAAATAAGCTAAATCATTAACTTGCCAATCAATCCACTCAACTTCCACCCTTAAACTCAACCAAAAAAAAATCACTGTTTATTATTTTTAATTGAATTCTATTTTCAAATTACATTTATAAAAAAAAAGTATCATCATCATGTTTTGCTTAAAAGCATCTCAAAGCATCACGTATAGAAGAAGTCGACGGAAGTATCAAATAAAATAAAATGAAGAATTGACATAAATAAAATGAAAATAGAAGCACTAACCTAAGTAGAAAAATTAATATAAGTCTTAATTATTACTTAAAATCAATTTAGGAATTTCACCATTTATAGTGCTTTTAAATTATAAAGATCCAATTTATCATTATATCCTTCCAACTAAAATTAAAACTTAGGTCTCAAGATTAACTTGAAATCTTGAACTTCAAAAGTCTTCAAATTATTCTAAAACTAGAAATTTAATTAGTGAGAAGAAATGGGCTATGGATACCACTTAAGAAAACTACAAAGTAGGAAAAAAGGTAAAACGACTTTAAAAGAAGATTTATCTTGCGTTTTGGTATTTAGGTTCATGATGTTTATCATTTCTCAGTTATATTACTGTAAGCATTAAAGTTCCTTTTAACCCAATGAATGTCTCATATCTCTAATCTTTTTATTTTCAAAGACAAATTTAAACTAGAGTTTATGATGCTAATTAATATAATCATTCATGTCATCTTTAATCGTCTTTGCAAGTACAAACAGCTCGCGCTCACAAGGCCAGAAGCTTATTAGTAAAAATAAATTTTATAAAATAAATATAAATTAGGATTTTATTTTCTATATTGCATTAAGATTTAGTAATTTTTCTATGTTTTTATTTTTTTTATTTTTTTATTGATAAACAAATAATTGAATTTTCTTTTAGGGTGCATGGCTATATTTTGCTGTAAAATTACTTTTTAAAATATTTTTTGTTTGAAAATGTATTAAATAATATTTTTTATTTTAAAAAATTTATTTTTAATTCATTTCATCAAAATATTTTAAAAGCATCCAAAATTTTAATTTAAAAAAATAAAAACTTCTAAAAACATAATTTAACCGCACTCCCAACACAATTGCTGTACACGAGGTTATTTTTGTAAAATCCATGCACGCGGTTTACTGCCTCTCAAAATGACAATAATCATTCATATCATCTTTAATCCATAGTTTTAAAACCTGGCCCGGTCCGGCGGGTTGACCCGGGACCCGGCCGACCTAGGGCTGGGACC